TGGTGCTTATGGTAATTATATGTGAGGAGCAAAATGCTGTATGTTAACTGGTGAGGTACAGTGCTGTGCAAAAGAATTTTAGAGAAGTCTGACCTCCTCGGGTGTTCCAATGTTCACTTATGTTTGACTAAAATCAGAAGATCTTAAAGATGATCTGGTGTTGGCCAGCGATGATTCAATTCTGGTCTGCTGCTTCATGGATATAGTCTTTATTCCTCCAGCTACAAGAATGAAGTCAAGTATATCAACAATGCTGAACAATAACTTTTTTGTACAACCCCCCCCCAAAAAACAAGCATATTGCAAGCTGTAGGCTACTTTCAATGGGCATCCCTGCCAGGTGAATAGATCCATAAGGAGGAGGATTGTTATGGCTCAGAAAAAGCCCTATATTATGGCATCCTGATGGCTCAGGGGTTTAGTGCAGACCATTGAATCCCAACCTCCCAGCAAAAGGCCTGGGATGTTTGTGGATAGCAGAAAAGAAACTGGTCACTGTAACAATAAACATAGGGGGGAAAATCCACCAGTTTGGACCTGAAGCCATAAGGACAAAGAAAGAGTGGAGAGAATTAGGCCCGAGCTAAACAAAGCACTGAAATGAAATTAATCCTGTGCCCCACATGAATCACAACAAGAGCTTATTCCTGTGCCCAAGCATCAGCACCTTGTGCTATAAATTGGCTAAATTGCAGCAGTGATGTGTTTTAAAATTCAGCTTCTCGCACTCTATCCCTTTTATTGTTCTGGTTACTCTCTTGCTGTACGTCTTCACTCACATCTTCTTTCCTGTTGTTTCTTTAATAATCCCACTCTCTATTCCACTCTCTTTCTCCAGCCACATACTTCCATTCCCCTTGCCTCACACTGTTGTCCATTTTACTTTGAGGCTGGCTGAAGTGAGCATGTTGCCTCAGTGACACTCTGAGTACAGGGCTGTTGACTACTGCGGGAGTTTTCAGTCCAGTAGACATGTTGGGTTTGAGCACTATTAGGGTTAGCCTTTGAAAAGTATCAGACTTGTGTATTCTAGCTTGTAATTTAGAATAGCAACATGTTGAAAAAAGATTTCTTTGGAATGGCATTTCTGCCCATATCCCCCAACAGGAAAATTATCTTCCCCATGCCTCTGTAAAGGTTAAAAACAGGCAAGAACCTGTGGAAAGGTTTTATAAAGTTCATTATTCTGTTCCAAAAAAATGCAAGAAATACAGAATACATGGGGCCATGTTACCAAATTACTATCTGAACACACTGGTTAGATTACTTTGAAAGAAAACAGGGGAAACAAAGTGTGAAACCGAGTATAGGCAGTAATGTAGGGCTTCTATTATTGGCCTTGACTTTAAAGTGAATATATTTCATGGACTTTGCCAATTAAAATTAGATCAATCACCTGCAAAAATTGAGCTTGACTTTGCAAAGTCAAGAATAATGGAAAATCTACAGTTCCATTGCAACTAAGCGAATCAAATCCATGTGGTATGGTCAAAAGCTTCCAGTGTCAGACTTTGACATGAACTCACCCAAATAAACAGATTTTAGGACCTAAACGCAGGACACGAGACTTGGCTGGATGACTTCTATCCAAAACAGTCCAAACAGAAACAGGTTATCCAAAAGGCACAATACCAAATTCAAATCACGTGAGATGAACAATCATCCAAGCAGGTAAGACTATAATCCTCACAGGCACAGGCAGCTAACCAACTGACTGACAAACAGGCAATGATCCTGCAAAGACCAACAGGAACTGAGAGGTATAAATGCAGACACAAACAAGCAGGGCAGGACCACAAACAGGTGTAACACATTAGGGGCTAACAGACAGAGCAGGAAGCAAAACTAGACACAGACGCAGACAACTTCAACCTAAAACAGGAAGCAGGACAAGACATAGAAACATGGACCAAACTGACACTGAAATCAAGAACATACACAAACAAGTACAAGACGCAGTGGCAGTGGAGCTAAGCCATGGGTGACTTTGAATACCAAGCAAGAGTTTTGCAAGAATTGCATATTTTATTAGGTACTCCAAACTTAAACTCTGCTGTGTGTGTGGTCGACATCAGACAGCTAAACATTCACGTATCTTTTAGTATCCAATTAAAGCAATGGATGATTCATACATACACATGTTAGCACGAAATGCTTTTTGCTGCTGCTACTTGTTTGCCATGCCATTCTATTTGTATTTATGTCACTACTGCTTTTACTGTTTTAATCAACTTTTCCAATCTTTAAACTGCATGCCCTGTTTTGTTTTTGCTTTCATGCATTTTAGGAAGCCTTTTTAACACTTTGGCCAGAGGCTAGAGAAAATAGCCTCTTGGCTAATTCTGGTATTTGTTTTACCATGTGTGTTTATTAATTTGGACTGTCCCTCCTCACAGATGTAAAGAAGTAAACTGAACTGAAGTAAACTCTCAGAGCTAAAAAGCTTTTAAAGTTTTTGGATGTATGTAACAAGGGAAAGAAAACATTGCCAGGTGTGTACACATACGAGGAATTTGACTCAGGATTGTACAATGCTCACGATGTGGTTACCTATACAATAATAAAATCACACACAGGCTACAGTATAGAGAACAAACACACACACACACACACACACACACACACACACACACACACACACAAAATAAACAAACAATATTGACAGATTGAGGCAATTAGTGCAATACAGTGCAAAGGATGCAGGAGTAAAATTATCATTATGTACATGTCGGAGGTGGATGAGATACAGGTACACATGTACGCAGTCAAAGGATGATGGAATAAATAAGTATTATGTGAAGGTGTAATGTACTTTGAGGTAGGTGGATTTAGTATACAGCATATACACAATATACAAAATGACAATATGAACAGCTCTGAAATTGAGAATGATTGATAAATGATGAATAAATAAATAATAAGTAACAGGTACCAGGTTGGGATAACAGGTAAACAGGTGGCTGATTAGAGACAGAGTTACTGGGTTTTTGCACAGGAATTGTCTGAGTCAGAAATCAGCTGTTCATCAGAGTGATGGCTTGTAGGAAGAAACTGTTCCTGAGTCTATTGGTTTTGGCATACAGTGCTGTGTAGCGCCTACCAGAGGGGAGAAGCTGGAACAGTTTGTGTCCTTTTTTTGCTCATTCTTTTGTTTCCTGCCCATTTTCTGACTCTGGAAATGTATAAGTCCTGAATGAGAAGAGGGCAGGTTGGCACCAATGATCTTTTCTGCAGTCCTGACTGTCCGTTGTAGTCTGCTCCTGTCCTTTTTGGTGGCAGATCCAAATCAGACCGTGATGGACGAGCAGAGGACAGACTGGATTATGGCTGTGTAAAAGTGGATCAGCAGCTCCTTAGGCAGGCTGCGCTTCCTGATCTGGCGCAGGAAGTAAGATATAATTTAGAAACAAAAGTAAAATATAGCCGCAGCTGACTTTTGCGGACTTCAGTGTAACGTAAGCTGCAGGCAACCACAGGGGTGGGGAATAAAAATGGCGCCGTCAAGTCAGACACATTCTACCTGCGTGAGCTTACTGTGAGCTGAGATCAATGATTGATCTC